ACAATGGAGGCATGGCTGAGATCAAAGCAGGCGCAGAGCTGCAGGAGTGCAGTAACCAAGGCAGCACAGGATGTTCTGTGTTGACACACCGAGGCCACAGTCTCAGAAACTTCAGCTCTCTCTCTCTCTCTCTCTCTCTCTTTCATTCTGGCAGAAATGCATGATGTCGCAATGACGGATGAGATGAGGGCTCCACAGAGGAACACTGTCTGAATGTTTGGGTGTCATGTTCATGGGGCAGAGGTCTGCAGATGTACTCAAAGTTGGCAGCATTTGAGTCAGGTCTGCACTAAATTATGGGGTGACCTTTCACTGCTCGCTGCCTGAATTGACAAGGTTCTGCTGTCTTTCTGGCACATGCTGGGGAAGATGACACTGATGAACACCAGAGGGCAAACAAAGGAAAAAATGGATGAAAGAAGAAAGGGTAAAAGGTTAGAAATGGAAAGTATGGTTCATTTTCCACTGAACAATGTTCAATTTCCGGAAATGGGGGGTAACACAAGTACTCATACTTTAGTCCTCAGGTATCTTTTCTCTGCTTGAGAATTCAACCATCTGACAATGACTTTTCCTCTGCCCCTAAACTGTAACAGAAAGAAATCAGTGCTTTAAACTTCCTGTATTTTTTTAACAACTCCTATTTTTAGCTCTAAAACATTTGAGGGAGATGAGCAGTTATATTCATTTTTCATCATTTCTCTGTGTCCCCAATGTCAAGACGAATTCCAACCTAAGATGGATGGGACAAAAACACATGGGAAAGAAAACCTCATCGGCGTATCGATCAGTAAGAATCAGAGTCAGGTTTAAACCATACTTCTCCAGGAAACTGCTTCTGTCTCAAAATTCACAGTAAATTTGAACACATATTAATGGCACTTTTCGCCTCATATTCCATAATCGCTAAATTTTTCATGATATCTCGTCTTGTAATTTTTTTAAATGATCAGATTTATCACTCAGCAAGAAATTGGAAAATGTCAACAAAGGCTGTTTCTGCAGTCCGCTGTTAATCACTTTGCCTGACACCCACCATGTGGCAGCTTTACAATTAACTGTACAGAAACTGTTAGTATGGTTCCTGATGGTCTGGTTTGCTTTAGTAGATCAGAAAGAGGCATTAATACCATATCAACACCAGTTCAGGGTGTGTCGATAGAAACTTTTTTACTTCCGATACAATGCCGATATTGTAGCCTTCACTATTGGCCGATACCGATATTGATCCGATATTGGCACAAACTTGTGCATGACAAGTTTTGCACTCAGTTGTAATGTCATTTTGGCCTTAACTGAAAAATCTGCCACACAGCCGACATCACTTCTACTCCTTGCAACTTTGTTAGAACCTTAGTACACACGGTTGTTGTGATTACATGGGCTCTACATGCTGGATAGAGGTGCTGGAGCAGAGTCTGGAATGGATCGCTTGTATCGGAGTGCTTATACTGGAGATTTTAGATGCAGATATAATCTAAAATTCATTTTTTTTTGCTGATATTGAACCAATATCTGATATCAATATCAATAACATCCCCTGATACTAATATTAATATCAATTCCAGTATGCTTCATAGCAAGTTACAAACTCCTCACAGCTCCTCTGTGTTTGCTATTGGGGTTTTCGCCCAAGTAATTGCACTTCTACCTGAGTAGAGTATGTGTGCTTTCCTCAGTAGGTTTCACCCTGTCTGATAATTTAGTGTTATGACAGCTCAGACAGAGTGTAAAACCAAAGTTATGACTCTTAATATGGAAGGACAAGGTGCTCCCTGAGTGTAGTCTGTCCTGTGAATCACACAGTCTCAATGAGAAACCACAAAGTCTGCTCATTGACTGCTTTCACCAACTTTTAACCACACTTTGTCCCTCTAAGACTTTTTTTTCCCCCCTTCATCCCTCTAACCCTGCAGCAGTGTGAGCGTGCCTCTGTAAAGTGTCAGTGCTTACTTGCTCTAGCGCCCAGTGCCATCTGGCCTCTCCCCACTCTGCTGATAGAGACATCAACACTGACAGTGTGTGAACAGCCTCTTGTGGATTAAGAGGGGATTGAGCATCAACAATAGGCGGCCACATAACACAGGACACCCAATCAGCCACTTTTATCATGGGTTTGTTTTCTTAGACTCTCAGAAGAGGAATTTGAGCTACAGGAATGTAATGAGTGCACTTGAGGACTCTGTGTTCCCAGCACTGATACTTCAGAGATTGTCAGGCAGCAGCTTCCCACCTCTGAGCTGCAAACCAACATAATTAATACTAGAGTAACCCTGGGTGTCTGTTCCTTTCTCTGTTCTGTGCCTCTGTTGGCCTCTCTCCTTACACTCCCATAATAGTTCAGTGCCCACAGGTCTTCATTTAGCTGCTTCTGTTCAGTCTTTAGAGCTGTGGGCAATGCTGATGATGATTCAGTCTTCCGCGCAGCTAGACCAAGAGTTTGTTACCGCTCTTTGATTTGTGCTTTAAATTTAGGGCAACAGACATCAGCTAGTTAGCTCAGCTGACATTAAATAGAAGAGTAAAAATGTCTTACAGGATAATTCTGGCCACATAAAGTGACTCAGTGTCTTATCTTCACAATGATGTTACTCAGAAATCAAAGGTTTCTGAGCATACTCATGTTGGAATTATCTGAAATATTCATATCTGTTTGTTGGCTTACATACAGTCGTGATTGGAGTCAGAGTCTTTGCCTTTAAACCAAACTAGGCTGTTTCCAGTCTTATATTGCATTAAACAATAAGGCCACCATGTGGGATTTGGACAAGTACTGTAAATCAACCACTCAGCAGACATGCCGTCTTATTCTTTTTAACCAGTCAGGCTTTGTGCCCTTCAGTTTACATTTGTAACAACTATACTAGCGTCTTTTGCATCATTAAACGGGGCTATTTGTTGTGTCTTATTTACTGTTTTAGCACCACATACTTTCTCCTCTCTACTTAGGAGTCCTACTCTGTTACAAACACAGCCAACGGCTTTAACTCCCCCCTGCGTTCCTTTGCAATCTAATTTTCCCTCTCCTACCGCTGTACCAGTTTGATTTGAATGCAGGACCGCAGCTTTTCAGTCTCGCTCTAGCTGTGGGCCGCCTATTAGATCAAGGCCTTTTTTGCTTTTTCATCTTTAGACAAGAAGAAGAGGAGGGATCTCCCTGGTTCCTCAACTGAACAGAGCCTGGAGCAGGCCAGCCTTTTGGCTTCACCCGGTACACCATCAAACGGACAGTGAGAGGGAGGAAAGAAACAAGGGAGATTGAGGAGCGATAGACAGAGATGAGATCAAGGTCCCGGCAGGGGCCAACACTCCCACTCGCTCCGTGCTGATGACTCACAGAAAGGATATCTGCTGGTGAAATCTCACCTCCTGCTACGTTCAAACACAAGTTTGCAGCATGAAAAGTATCTATGTTTGAATCATGTACTCAACAGTGTAAACAAACAGGAACTGATTTGTGTTAGACACAAACAAACAAACAAATGTCGGGCACTAGGCTATGTTTGCTGTGTAAATCCTTGTAATCTTGTACAGTGTGGTCAGCTTTTGAAAAACATGTAATGATAAGCATTTTTGTGAGGTTGGTGTGAAGGAAATCCGCTCTGGTTGGACTGAGCAGGGCTCTCTAGATTTAATCTGACTTCATATGTAGACAGTCTGTCCGCAGACCACAATTACATTAGCCTAATATGATTTGTTATGTACAAATGTTGGGCAGCAGGTGATGTTTGTTCTAACTTCATAAGATAAAACAAACACAATTTCTGTTATTACATCAGCCTGTCATAAGTATGATTAAGGACTTAAAATCATCAAAATATGATCAGTTTTTATAAGGATGAAACTACAAAAACCTGACAACGCATTAAAATAGATTCTCTTATTTTATAGCATTTCTTTTACCCAGTTTCTCTCATGCTGGTCTAGAAATATAACTTTTCCTAAAAAATTCTAGGAGTTACTTTCTAAATATGACCTGAAAATGCCACAGTCATGACACACTTGAGTGTGATTAGTTGAAGTTCTCGTTGCTGTAATAACAGCATTATGTGTTGAACGCAAGTTTTTAGGAGCCAGAAAATCTGGGCTTGAGTCAAACTCAACCAAAATCAGTCCAGTCAAGCTTATGCCAAATATCTACTCAGAAAGGATGGATTCTGCATAAACCAAATACAAATAATAATAATAATTAAGGGCAGGTGATAGATAACTGGGAAATGTCCTATACATAGCCCACTAGCCTAAAAATGGATCACCTTAATCGACTTAAGTCACATTAATCTTCCTTTCTAAGTTAAGCTCATTGCGTCTGGTATCCTTCAAGCTTCGCACTACTCTCAGCTATTTCCTGAATACTTTTGGCAGAGTTCACTCAAACAATAAGTCAACTCCTGACACTGAAAGCAGCTGAACTTATACAGGTTGTAAACACACAAACAGCATTGTCTAACCATTTAGACAAACCGCAGAGGAAATAGGCTCTAAATGTTGCTGTAGTGATGTTGTAATGAGGCTTTGGTGGAGTTCAACACATCTGTCATTTGTCACAGCCACCACCCATAAAGGTCAGGGGAATTTTTCGGAGTAAGCAGCAAGGCGAGTTTTTAAACCCACACAACAGATTGAAGTTGTGGGTGTCTGTTAAGTTGAGTGATGGCCCTGAAACCCAGAGGGGTATGGACCATTAACATTAAATGTACTGGGGGAAAAACAAGAACGGTGCTCAGCGTGGCTCATGGAGCTGAACTGGAGGCCTGTGTCCATCTAGTGTTCGGACATGGGAACTGAACTGGCTATAACCTCAATGAGAATGAACAAGTCTCTAGATGAGTGCTACAGGAACACTGTGGTTTCCTGAGCTGAAAATACACATATGTGTGTCAGTGTGAGACTCAGTTCTGATGCATCTCTATGTATAGTTTTATTCTTGAACAGCTGAGCAGTTATGTTCTCAAAATAGCCATTACCTGAAATAAAGTCAGAGAGCAGAAGAGAACATCTATAATCAAACAGTATCTGGTTTAACCACCATTTTATTTGGCATAATTTAAAATCATCTCACTGTTAGTTCATTTATACAAATATGCTTTTGTTATATATAAAACAATTACAGATTTCTACAAATCAAGTTCCCAGTGTAAAAGCGTAGTACCACGCACACGGTAGCATACAGCTCCGGGACACAGACAAGAGAGCCCACAGGTGTATGTTCCACTTCAACAGCATTATCTGAGTGAAATCAGGACACGGCAAAAAATACTAACTCACCACAGTTGACAGTTTGACATGTTATGCACTTACATTCAACCCTCCACACACTGATCACGGAAATTCTCATACATCCTTTGGCAGATCTCAAACCGCATCACTGTTGTTACACAAAGTCTCCTGCTCGTGTTGCGCTTGGGTTTATCTAGACTTTACACAGGCCACAACCTAGGATGACCAAAACACAATCTGCTTGACGTGTACATGAAAATAACTACAGTAAAAGGGGTTGCTGGTATTACTGGTAGCTATTAGCACAAATTTGCAACCAGTTTTTACTAGAAAAGATCTTATAAAATGTAGAAAAATCTTAAGATGCAGCATGGCACGTTCCACAAATGCAGCTCTTGCTAACTTTATGTGTAAGTTATGTGTTCCCTCACTGCAGTATGCAGCACAAGGATGTAAACCACAATCTGTTAAGAGTTGTGGGCCACATCGCCTCATCTGCTTTTTTTTTGCAGATGAACGGTGCACAGACGTGTCGCACAAGATGTCAGTTTAGCACCTGTGACTTTCAAAGAGGGGTGCAAAGACTTTGTGTGTGCTAAGGCAGAGAGCTTTTGAAAACTACAAAAATGAAACCCCAAGTTGGTTCAACCTGCACTTGAAAAGGTCTTGGTGGCATTTGCATCGCTATAAAAGAACCTTTGGGGAGCACAGCTATGGTCTTTGGTTTAGATAAGGCACCTGACCAAATTTAAGGCTCCTTCTATATTCTATATTAACTTTTGCTGTCACACAGTAGACACACTGACTGGGTAGCCAAGACACAATGCTTCATCCAAGATGACATCATGTTTCACAACCAAGATTAAAGGAATATAAATGTACAAAGTCAGGAAAAACATATTCTCGTTTCACATGCTATGCTGTATTAGTTCTGCAATGGTCATAGTTTGCTGACCTGAAATGTGAGGCAACAATGTAAGTGACAAGTGGAGCATTGTTGAGTTGTGGTTTATCAAATTTGAGTATTATGACACACAAACATTTTACTGATCAAATACACATAAGCTATTACAAAAAATATATTCAACTTTGGCCATAACCGCACTTGAGGGTTAAAAACATTTCAGGAAAAAAAAAAATCACTTACAGAGTAAATTCAATATTATTAGACAAAGTACAGTCTCTTTGACTCCGTCATGTCAAAGTCACTCTTAGGCATGTTTTAATGGCATTCATTAAGACGTAGGCAGAGGAGAGCTGTACCACTTCCTGATATGTCAGCTCAAGAAATCCTGTACCAGTGAGGGTTAATTTGGCTGAGGCCTTATGACACCTGCTCCACTATTAGTGAAGAGGGCAAATGGTCGGCTGCTTTTAATGGGACCAGCTTATCTTCAAAGGCCCACTGACTCTTCCATGCGTGGCAGTGAGAGAGCGGTGCAAGAGGCTGGAAGGGCAGCCTGCCAGACAGCTCTAACATGCCAGACTGAGCACATGGGGGACCGCAGTTCGACAGTTTAACCTCTAATCTGTGCATACTGGGTATGGGGTACTGGCATTTGTCCGGGAGTCATTACACCTCGTCTGGACCCAAGCTGCTTGAAATTTAAAAACTTGTTTACCCTCTACTTGGCGGTTCATTTCATCTAAATAGGCAAGTCAAGCCATCTTGATGGTGACACTGCTTGATACTCATGAGATGCAACCTTGGTGAGAGTATGAGGTAGTCATTATTTCTCCACCTGAACAAAGGTAGATCTCTTCTCTCCAGTCGAACAGGGTAGCTTGGTTTGGATGTTGTTATGGCTTCTTACGACCATGATCAGCATTTTATGAGGCAAAGCAGAGAAGCTATAAATCTAGAGAAGATGTAAAATTGGAAAAAGTTGTAAATATCAAAGATAAAATGTAAGAAAAATAGAGGAGATATGGTCAGTTGCTGCCATTTTGGCACAGTCACTTTGGTGATGACGGTAACGGAGTGAAGTCCTCCAGGAGATGATTAAGGAAGAGAGGAGTGGCAGAGGAGATGAAAACAAAGTTTGAACTGCTGTAGGTGGAGTAGTCGCAGCCAGGTGACAACCTTTGTTCCTCAGCCTTCCTTTGCATCTGTGGATCTCCATCATCCCTCTCTACAGTCCAAATTTGGGAACTGTTCATTACAACAGCACACACTTCTTGGGGTTCTTTTTCGTGACTGGATACAACACTGCTCTCACAGCTTCAGCAAACACCTCCCTGACACCATCCTGCAGTAGAGCAGAACACTCCATGTATTTAACAGCCCCTATCTGCTTGGCCAGGGTGTTTCCCTGCTGCTGGGTAGTAGGGGCCAAGCCCTGCTCCTTCAGCTTCTTCACCGTTTCTGCATCACCCCTCAGGTCCCTCTTGGTGCCCACCAGCAGGATGGGCACATTCGGGCAGTGGTGAGACACCTCAGGGTGCCACTTGTGCCTGACGTTAGCATGGGAAGAGGGACTGCCAATGGAAAAGCAGATGATAAAAACATTGGTCTGGGGATAAGAGAGTGTGCGAAGGCGGTCGTACTCCTCCTGGCCCGCAGTGTCCCACAAGTTAAGGCTGACAGTGCGACCATCAACACTCATCTGAGCGCTGTAGTTGTCAAATACTGTAGGAATATACTCTTCAGGAAAGGCATTCGTGGTATAAGAGATGAGAAGACAGGTTTTCCCAACTGCCCCGTCACCCACCACAACACACTTTATGGTCTGCATCCTGCCTACGACCACTGGGGCTGCAGCACCTGACAACAGACAAAACAGGCACCTGAGTAACAACTGGTTATAATGCTCTTCACACACAGACAGAGAGGAAGGCAAAGCTTTTAATCGCTGTTTGTTGGGATGACTTGACAAACGATAACAGAAGTGAAACATGCACACCAAAAGCTCAGCGTCAGCAGTCTGTGCACTTATCCAGCTTTTCATTTATTAGCTGGCCAAGCTAGCGGCCGCCAACTTTAGCTTAACGACGTAATTAAAAGACGGTAGCCGCATTTTAAGTAAATTATGAACAATGTGTACAAACTTCTTCGGGAAAGTCCTCAAACTGGGACAGAGACTGAAACAAAGTGAGACGCCGGTGTCTTGGGGTTAATCATTCCTCACTGTTCACTTTTGATACTAGGCGTTCCCCCAGCGGCTAGCACCAAGCTAAGGAACTAGCACATTTGGAGGCTAACAAGCTAGCTAGTAAGCAAACAATTAGAAGTTTATTTGCAAGCCACTCCCCAAAAAGTTCCGCTCTTGTCCAAATAGCCTCCCATGAGTTACTGAAAATATTCTTACATGTATTGGCATATGTTTCAGACCTAGTTATCAACTTTAACAATAAAAATTGAAAGATTTTGTGACTTACCGCCACTTGGCTTTCGATCTCTTTTTGCTTGGTCTAGTCAATCACAGCCGCATCCAGGGAGCTGTCCATTACGTAAAAATCGACGCACGGGGACAATGCACCCTGGGAGTTGTAGTTTTATCTCGTGACAGACGTTTAGCGACGCTAGATGGCGTAGCTTTTCTGCTTTACTATCGTTTCAGTGTTGCGTAGATCCAAGAAAGACTGGCAATGTTACTGTAAAACGACAGTCGACACTGTGTCGAAAAAAATGGGCGCATTACCAGGAATTGTAGAGGACGTTGGTTTAAGACTTCCATGTAACCACGTAAAGATAGCAGTACTTTAACTCAGAAATTCAACACATAGTTTTAATTAAAGTGTCACAGAAGCATAAACTAAACCTGTCAAAGCAGAAAGCCTCCTTCATAATCCAACAACTCCCCATATCCCAGCAAAATTTAGGTTTGTATTTAGGTCAAATTAGCTACTAGAACCATGAATGGATATATGTAGGCTATGTGTTGTTGATTCATTTTTTAATTTTCATATTGAGTGAAAAACTACACTCAAACCATTATTCTCTGAGTGTGACCCCCTGACTGCAATAATATGCACTTATACACTCCACCATCTAGACCAAGGGTGTCGAGCTCAACCACAGCAAGGGCCATAATCTGGATTTAGGTCTAACCTGAGGGCCAAAGAGGGTCAACATTTCAGCAAAACTGTCAACCTCCTTTTCAAAAAATATGTAACAAAAACAGCAATGATTATAAATCATTTGGAAATTCAAAAAAGATAAGTTTAAAGGCAATCTGAGATAGACATTTTTATTTTATTTTAATTTTTATTCTATTTTTACTTATTAGTTCAAAAGATCAGAGCATGATATTAAAAATAGAAAAATAATGTTTCCAGAGAGCGAATACACGAGGAGAACATTGAAATCAGGTTTAAAAGGTCAAAATGACTTAAAATTTCAAACTGGAATCTAAAGTATAGAAATCTAAATACAAGTCTAAATACTGAGTTGAACAAATCAAAGCATGAAATAAAAAATCCAATCATGTTTGACTTGTAATCTTGACATGCAAAATTGAAAACATGAAATAAAACACCAAATATTTTTTCTCCCACATTCTTGACTATTTATCAAATCTTTCTTACTCATTACTCACTTATTTCGTGGCTTATTAAGGACATTTTAAATAATGGTGCTGAAGTTTACATTATTAAACTGGAGGAAATCTGCAGACTTCATACTGGTGGACCAATAAAAATACAAATATGATATGATCTTGTGGGCCAATTATAATTGTTCCACGGGCCAGATTTGGCCCCTGGGCCTTGAGTTTGACACCTGTGATCTAGACAGTTTAACCTGCTGTCACTTTGTTTTGCCAATTTACTTCCTAACCACTTAAACTCACAAAGTAATCCTGAGTATGGCCATTTAGCATGTCAAGAGGAGTCTCAATGCACAGACTCCCACACTTTCTGTACCCTTCCTCTTGAACTTGCTTCAATCTCAAGACTAAATGCCACACAGCGTGTCAGTGTGTGTAAAGAAGCAGGTCATAGAAAACCCTTTCTCTTGTCTTGTGGACCTCGTGGGTTCTTTGGTCAGCACTGGTCTTAAAGCCCATATATCACTTATTCACCTTTAGACAAGTCATTATTCTCACCAAGCCTGTGCTTTCAAGTCCATGTAGAATACAGAAGGCAGCTAAAAGAGGGATCACTTTAGACTGCACCCCTGGAGACCTGTGGTGATGTCACCTCTATACACTGAGGCAGGTTAAGAGGCCAGCACTGACCGACAACCGGACACTCAAGAACACAAAGAGGCACCGGTTTATTGCCTTTCCCAAGAGGTTCTGGCGTCACTGCAGCCTATAAAAAGAGAATTCCCACTGGGACCCAACACCCACAGTCACCCTCTACCCCAACCCTTGCACCCTGCTATTCTGTCAGGAGATTCCCTGGGATGTCTGTAGCATTTCCATGACAACAGCCACTGACAGAGATGGGGGTGACTGTGTTAAGAGATGCAGTAAGGAGTTCAGGAAAGAGAGAGTGACAAGAAGATGCAGGACAGCGTGATGTTGGAGTTGCAGATGATGAGACTTGAAAGAAAAGGCTTAATTTGCTGGCAAAGAGCTACAGACACTTGTTGGGAGCTTTTTTCAAAGAAGAGACACTTATATCCAGTTTACCATCTTTATTATCTTCTCTCTCTCTTTTTTTTTTTTTTTTTTACAAATCCACATAATAAAGTGAATAACAACTGCTGCTATTCAATAAAGTTATAGAATCTTTTCACATAAAATAACAAAATTACAGAAATGATCACCTTGCGGTCTCTTCTTCAGTTTGTAAAGTGCATCAGAACAACGAGACCTCTCAGTTTAATATTGTACCAAGTTCAGGTTGGACTGTGAGAAAACACAATCATCACCTTCAAAGAGGGGGGAGGTTCACAGTATGCAAAACATTTGGGCAATCTCTAACATAAAACCTTCCTTTATTACCACAAGAGAGATTGAAACAATGTCCAATTCTTTCAGAGCGCACTTGTCTGGTCTGGACACAAAGCGCTGCCACTCGGCTGAGATAAACTGATGAGAGTTCAGAGTAAACCAGTAATACATATGAATATTGACTAAAATGCGGGGCTTCTTGTGGTGTCCTCTCGCCTGCAGAGGACACATTTGCTTAAAAAAAAGGAGGTAGAATTTGCAGCATCCAATGAGAGATGAAGCAAATGAGATGAAATGCCTGGTATTGCTTCAAGTGCAGCTCCCTCGCATGTTCAAACCCAAGCACCCAGAAATACATGCAAATTTGATAAAAGCTGAGTTAAGTAGAACAGAAATCTGACTGATGACTCACTCTCCTCATGAATATTCAGACTGAAATTAAGACTGAAATCCATAAAGGCATTAAAGTGAGAAAACACTGCACAGTAAAGGCACTTATTTTCTTGCATCACCTCCACAGTGGCTGAGATGCTGCAGCTCGAGGCATTTTGGGACCAGGAATCCTGGAAGCTGTGGGGATCTTAGAGCTTGCAGGAGAGGTGCTTGTGCTCGTTGTCTTGGTAGTTTTAGTTCGGGCAGCAGATATGACAGCAGTGCGTATTGTCTTTGCTGTGGTGGAGGACGGGCTGTGAGCAGTGCGAGATTGTGAAGGCTCCTGAGTCTCAGACTTTGGAGCAAGACGTTTGGACACCCGGGCAGGAGTCCCCCTGACAAAGGCTGGTTGGGCGCTGCATGAGATTTTCTCTGATACGGATCTATCTGAGGTCCTGCGAGTTAACGCGGGCTTTCCTGGTGTCTGTTGGTCACAAAGAGTCTTTTCCCGTGTGCTGTGACTGCGTCTCGCTTCCGTCTGAACAGCAGCAGGACGGGTGACAGCTGAGGAGCGCATTGATGTGTTGCGAGGAGAAGTCAATCGACTGGGTGTAGATGGGTTTGTAGAGGTGGGGACTCCATTTGTAGGCTCAGTTTTAGAGCGCACTCTGGGAATGCCCGTGCTGTTGGAAGGTCCCGCACGTGACACAAGCCCCCTTTTGGCCCCGATTCCACTTCGCACAGGGGTCTTCACAGCTCGAGGCTCCTCTTTTGATGTGGGGGACCCTGGGGTTACCCCCTCTCGGAGGTCAACCTCCCTCTCTTTCCTCCACTTGGAGCAGAGGCTGGGTGCGGGTCGTGGGAGTGGGGAGGTGGGGGGTGACAAGGTGTCGTAGGATCTGAGGCCTTTCACCAGAGTGTGGCACTCCAATGATTCACCCACTCTGGAGTACGGCTGTGCCGCCTCCCTTTCAGGACTTGGCAGGTCGCAGAACTCCTCTGGCTGTGATTGGCTGAACTCTGGCAGACTGGAGGGCATCCAGTTCTCCTCAACAGGCGCGGACACCACGTCAGCGTTTGATTGCTTTGTTAAACTGGAATCAAGGGATGAAATCTCTTTAGTTGTCATTGTGGGAGTCTCACTCGCATGTGGTTGTGACTGGACCCTCTCTGGTGCATTTACAGATGAATGTGATTGGCTCTCGGTTTTTTGGTGCCGTAACAACCCAGTGTTTGTGTTATTTTGAGAAACTACTTCCTTTGTGTGGGGAGAACAAGGTAAAGACCCCTCAGAACAAGAGCCATTCGATTTACTTTGAATAGAGCGAGTATTGTCTGCAGCTGGTAAGCCAAACTTATGTCTGCGAGATGAGGCCTGACTTTTAACGCACAGTGCAGATGTATCAGGGGGAGTATCAGCAGAGTTGGAGCTGGGTGAAGACTCAGTGGTCATTGAAACTAAGTGTTCATGTGAAACTTCTGCCTCTTCTTCAAGTGTTGCTGCTTTTGTTTGGCCTTGCAGAACATACAAACTGCTCTCAGGTCCATGTTGCTTGACAGTGTATCCACTCCCAAGCTGAGAGCAACTAAATGGAGCAGCACTTGAGTCCTGCATCAAATGTTTGCTCCGATTTGTTGCTTTGCTGTACTGTGATCTGCATCTCCTACTCAAAACAGGTTCTCTGTCAATAGGGGAACAAATATCCTCAGTCTCGGGGGAGCTACAAAGCCCAGTGGAGGTTTCATGATCAGATGAGCTGTTGGAGTGATAGCTGGTGGACGTTGGGCTGCTGCCAAGCTCAGGGAAGCTCTTCAGCATGGATGAGTTTTGGAAATGGGTGTCATTGGGAATGTTCTGGGAAAGTCTGCGGGAGTCGGAGCTCCTCAGGCTACGTCGACTCCAAGTGTAGCTCAAGTTCTTCTCTAAAAGTTTTTCCAATTCGTCCTGGTTCTCCTGACTTTGAGGCTCTCTGGCGAGGCTGATGTTTAGGTCCAGCCCAGTACAAACAGCCAGAGAGCGACGCTTTTCTCCGATTTCACGTTGACGCTCTAAACGTTTCCGTTCCTTCAGCTCCCGCTCTGCATTTTCCTGCACAAAAGACACACAGAATCATTCACTTTTTGACTGACTATGATGATCAGATCTGTATCTCTGGCCTTTTAGGGAAAATGCTCGTGATGTAACTGCATTTCTGTCATGTATAAGCTTACCTGGACAGCTCTCTGGAAGCGATGGCAGAACGAATGGAAGACCCTGCAGGCTTCCTCTAGTTTAAACGTGCTGTCATCTTCACAGAAGAACTCCACAAGTGCCTGACTTGACATCCTCATACCTTCTACTTCATCCTCTGCCTCCTTCAAACGTTCCTCAGCCATCTGCACACAGATACAGACACAAAGAAATCGGTCTTCTGCTCGTGCTCGTTTTGCACAAAAACAAATAGAGGCAAGATTAAGTTTTGAAACTTAATGGGCTGTTGAATGTGTTATACCTCTAAGAAAGTTAGTGTGTGCTGCTGGATCTCCTCCTCAGTCTGGATGTTTGCCTTTAGGGTCACCACTCTGCTCTTTAACTTGGATAAGTCCTCCAGCACTGACTCCTCTGATAATCTGCAGGAAAAAAGAAAGCATTGGGATGAGTTCTCTACAAAAAAGGTTATTCAACATGGCTTAAAAAACATTTTCACTAAATGAATGTTAATGATCCAAATAGTTGAGCAGGAAAGGGTCTTTCAATAATGATCTTAACACAAAAAATAAGAGCTGCACTGCTTGCATGATATTCATTATTTTTCACAGCAGAATACAGATGACCATCCCTTAGCCCTTAGCAGAAAAACTCTCCAGCTGAGCTGAAATTTTGGCTCCAAGTATCAATGTTGTCATGACCCAGTTCCATTCAGGCAGCTAGCTATTGCTAACAGCTGGGCGCCTTTAGTCTGATACATGAGTGCAACAGATTTACAATACAGCATATTGGGTGCGTTGGTGTTATTTAGCTGGACTTTTTTATTCTTGCATGGTCAGGGTAGGATCTGATGAGGTTTGGGAACAGACTGACCTAGAGGCGGAGCCAACATGGCCTAGTTGGCTGGGAAATGACAGTAAACTCTGGTCCTTTTTCACAGCTTCCTGTGGAGACAAACACAAATGATTATCCAGCTATTGTTTCAGAAGAAGAACAAATGTTGACAAAATCATATGCTCTGTGAAGCAGTCTGGCCTGCAGGGCTTAAAAGGCTACTGTTGTCTGAAAACTCTGGGGTCAGAAACTAATGATTCTTGCAAAAAAGTAATTTCCTAAAGTGGAAGTAAAGAGTGTATCGCTGGATTTTATTCTACACTTACCATTGCAACAAAATGCAGCAGGTTCATGCCTGGCTTGTTGGCTTTGGTGTCCGCCAGTTTGAGCAGCGATGAAATTCGGAAACCAGCAGCATTCCCTGAGTACCCCCCCTGAGAAACAGCACACGAGGTCAGACACACAGACAACATGTGACAACTTTAAACAAACAATAACAGAAAATCCAGGTGCACCGTCAGAGTGATGCACCTGGGCACACACCTAGACCCCATGGCCAAGGGTGCATTGTACATGGATGAAAGGACTAATTCTGCTTTGTGAGGATGAAGAAAAGAAAAACGTAATGGATAAAATAAAGGAGCACTTACAGCATTCATGTAGTTTCCTGCTTTCAGCACCAAACGCAGGATGGAGTGTAATTCGGGACAGCTTAAAAGTTCTGTAGGAGTCAAAAACAGTGATTTAATATTAAACGTTTGAGGAATAATGAGAATAAATATGAAACAGCAGACAAAAGTAAGTGGGAAATGTGCTTTAAACACACTCAAGCTGAAGTTAAATAGGTCTTTTAAATGCTGACTTTTCTGCCCACACAGATTCAAAGTAGGGGCATTTTTAAGGGCCAGGGTCTAGCTCTTCATTGTGGTGGGATACATGACTCCCTGTTGTTAACTTTACCTCTGGCTGCCTCCCTCAGACATCTGGCCGCCACACACAGAGAGGTCATGGCAGGGTCAAACTCTTGTTGCAGGATCATGGCATCCAGACGTAACCGAAAGCTAATGGAAGAGGAAAGAGAGGGACGGATGGATGAATGAGCGGGAGTTGAGTGGTGGTGGAGACCAAAAGGCACTCGCGATCAATCATTGGTTAAACAAGCACATGTCATCACAAAGTGAAGGACGTGTTGCAGGACAAGTGGCAAATAACAGTTAAAGTGAAAAACAGTTTTGAGTCTAATAAACTGAAAGTTAAAGTATAGGGAAAGTACTTGAGTTTCTTAATTATGCAATGTAGAGTTAGGGGTTTACCTGGGGACTTCCACCACCAGCAGAATAAAAAGATCAGGCTCCCCAAGCCAGCTCCGCTCCCCGCTGAACCTCCTCAGGCGGGACTCCTGAGAGAGAACAGATGCTGGGTAAAATCCGGAGAGCAGCCTCAGTTGAAAAACAATCTGGCACACTAAAAACCAACATGTCGTCAACAGTCAATTCCAATATCTCTCAGCGTGGGCCTTCTTCGGAAACAGACCACATCACACGACATGGTGTAATGGCAGACTCTTGATCATCTTAACTAGAGCCAGATGATACAAGATGAGGGGGTGGGGGTGGGGGTGGGTTCCTGCAGTATTTGTATGCCAAAAAAGGCACTTTACCTCCTCATTGTCAGGGAGCAATTTGCAGAGCTCTGAGAGTTTCTCTGCACCGTAACGGTCCCCTGCACCCTGCCTGATGTCCTCCACTATCTCTTTAGCAGGCCTGTGGAAAAAAAGGGACATTTTCAGTGTGACACCATTTTCAACTTGAGGTTTTCAGTCTGTGCAGGAAACCCCCCTAAACTCCCTCTTATGGCAGTATCAGCTTTTAGTTTCACTTTGATCACCCAATATTTCGACACATCCTGTTCTTATCAGTCTGAGTGCCGGGGGAGAGCGGCTTGGTTGACGCCAAACTGTAGGCGAGCAGGTAAACAAAAGCAGAAATCTAGAGAAGATGTCTACCAGGCCTCATGATGTCAAGTTGAAAGACCAGAAATTGAATTGCTTGACTTTCTGACCCTTGACTTATTTCCTCAGTGACACATCTGTCCTCTATTCCAGCAGTTTTCCATTATCATCCCACCCCCTTCTTCATCTTACAAACCAGTGCAAGTGCACACATCCTCCATTACATGCATGCCACTGTGTGTGGTTTTTATTCTGCAGCATTATGTCCTCATTCAAAGCTCGATAATCACACCTGTAGACAAATTTTTTGGCACCAAAAGCTCAGGATGTACCCACGTAGAAATCTAGTGAAGAACTTCTTTTGAAAACGAGCGCGTTTAACACGCGTTTTGTGATCTGTCCAGACTAGTTCCTCTGAAAACAAAACGCAGACTGCAATGTAAACAGATCACATAATAAAAAAAAAGAGATTTAGGAGACTCCTTAGACACAGATACAAAACCAGATTTGTATAAAGTACACCCACAATTCAGCTCCAGAAAGCTAAAGTGAAAATAAGCTCTACACAAGACAGATGTTTGTGTGTATAAGAGGCTCTTTCCACATAATGGCTTTTCCTACAAGTCCTGACAAATCTATTCCAGAGCAGAGTCACCATGCAGTTGAGAGGCGCACAGTCAAGTGAACACTCCACAAACAGGTAGAGACATGAAATAAAAGCAATTATGCACCTTTTCAAGTAATCATTTCTACTCGCTACAGTACAGATGTCATTAACAACAAGATCAAAACATTAATCACAGTGCTCTGTATCTAGGTGTGTTTTAACGATTAGTGTCACGAGTTTATTCACTACGAGAGGTGCAGCTTTGTTCGATCCAGGCAAACATGCTAAACAGGCTTTAGTGGCAGGATGAATATGACAAGCCGCCTGCAGGGTCCTTCTCTGCAGGGGGTGACTTTAACATTTGACACTCTTTAAGGGCACCAGCAGGTGTCCACTTTGACTCTCAGTGCTTAACTAAGACACTTTCCTCCTCCAAGACCCCAGCTGCTCAGGCTGCACCCTCCCATGCACCTGTCCTCCTGCAGTAGCTAGTCCCCCCTCTTCCTCCCTGGCTTCCTCCCTCTCTCTCTGTCACTCTTTTGACGAGTTCACACTTTTGACACAACCTGCACACTCAGACTCCCACCCATTGAGAGAGCTCAACGACTGCTCAACTCAAGAACTGTTCCCCTGGGCACACTTGTAAACGCTTCTGTTTCCCGCTCTTAAAACTACTTTCAGTTTTGACTGATAGTGACCCCAAGGAAAAGCAGACAAAAAGCTCTAAGCTGGGGCTGTTCAGGACAGACTGTCACTGATGTGTATTGTGATTATTGTGCAATTTCTCATCCTAGTATAAAGTTTTTTAATGGATTGTAGAGGTAATGACAATCAAAATTTGGTAAAAGCCAATTTGATATCTGTCAATCACAGCGTGAACCCTAGATATTCAGTTTTAAGATACTACAGAACAGGACATTCATTACTTAATTTGACATGTTTGCCTTAAAAATGACTAGAACAAACTTGTTGGAGTGCAATAAAAGTATAACTTAGCTTACATTTTGAACTGGCGTAGAAATATTCCAATGTTCATGCTGCGTTTTGAGTCCAGCAGTGAGATCTGTTAAGAGGAAAAGCAAATGATTAGGAGGGAGGAAAATATTCAAAATTTCACTGAACTCAAACATTTTTGAAAAACATCAGTCATCCCTCTGATCTGACCTCTTCTGGGCTGTCCTGTGGGGATCTGCAGCGCAGGAGTGCAGACCTGCGTCTTAGCGTGCTCGTTCTGTCCTGAGGTTTACTGTCCTTCTGTCCAAACAGCTCGTCCAGAGAGTGGAGGTCTATTGGGAACTCGTCCTCACCTGGCCCTGCCCCACTCCACACACTCTTCCTGCCCTCCACCTTCTCTTTGGGGATACGTTCCCAGTTTAGCTTTCTCAGCCGGCTGCGGCGCGCGCTGTCTGCGCGGCTAAAAGGTGAGGAGGACGAGGACCCGGGTGGGGGTGGGGGAGGAGGGGGAGGTGGGGGCGGTGGAGGGGGTGGTGGAGGTGCCAGGGGAGGAGGTGGGGGAGCGAGCAGCACTGGACGCGAATCCATGGCTGTCACTTCCACAGCAGTGGGTTCAGGCTGTGTTCCATGAAAGGCACGGGGTTCCTTGAAGGCGACACTCAGGTTGATGAGCATAGAGGCAGTGTGGGTGTTAGAGGGATGGGTGAGAGTGGGTGAAGAGCCTGAGCTCACTCAGTTTATGACAACTTTTCCAGTTTACAGCAACTCCAGTTCAAAGGTCGATCGATTTTTCCAGCCTGGGAAACAAGAAAACAACAAAAAAATCTTATCTCAGATGTTATTGAATGACAAAGAAACAGGAAGTGATTGCTGCCTTGACTTGTTAGATCAGTCCATTCAGGTCGCCTTCACCATGGCCCATGACCTCACCTGTGCCTGTTTGACACCTGGCCCTGCTTCTCCTTTAATTAGCATGACTCTGCTGCACGAGTTGACGTAACAAGTAGCTACAACTAAAATCTAACCTCTTGTTCAACTTTCCAGCGAAGTTCAAGGTGTTTGGGGGAAAGTACAAACTGGGCATGCTGAGCTCTCCTCCTCGCTTTGAACAGCTTGTCTCATCCTGTCCAGATTCACCTCACTGAATGCACACATGCCTTCGACCTGCACCCTCTCCCTTCTAATTAAAATACATGGAGACACCAAGGGGAGATCTTAACCACAAAGCTGAAAAACAGAAGGGTCTGAAGCTTCAGAAATCATGACTTTGACTATTCCCCCATCGGTTTAGGAGACTCACTCCTGAAAACTGACTACATACACTTGCAGGAGCAAGTTTAAGAAGGATCAGTATTGCAATTAGAAATGAGTCAGAGGTTTCAGGTGTCTGCTTGGAGGGGAAAGTCTTTAATCAGAACCTGACTTAGTACTTGGCCAGGAAAACATCCTCTCGCCCTCCCTTGTGATCTCATGATCAATCACAACTTTAGGGGGGCCTGTGAGGGACTGCAATGCTGTTCCAACCAGCACCGCACGAGCGCGCTGCAAAAACTGACGCTCGTGATGACCTCAGCCTCCATCATTCAAAAAGATCTGTATCTCCACGAGCGACAAATCATTGGATTCATCTTGTTGGTCAAAAGTAAGGAGGCGAAATAAAAGTTTAAAAATCAAGAGAAAAAGTTTTACGTCAATTTAAAAAAAAGCCAAATTAACGTCGCTATATTTCTCCTGATATTACAAAGAAATCACGGTATTTCGCATTTTCGTTGTTCGCACACTACACTAACCCTGATTTTTTCAGACATTTTATAAGACTCAACACAGTTTTGTGCAAAATACGTTCAACCCATTCTTCCGTGTGTGATTCAGGACAACTCAATCAAGTTGTTTCACTTACCTAAAGCTGACGGCTCCACGTCTCCAGCGAGGTCAACCAAAAAATATCAGTTTTAGAGTAAACTGTTTACCTTGACAGCAAACTTGGGGAAAAAATCGCCTACATCCCAAATTTTGGTCTCTTGTGTTTTCCTTCTCCCAGTAACTTGTACTGCTCCACTCGCAGCAACCCTTGTCTTTCTCAAGTTGCAGGGAAACTTCCACACAGTCCGGCAGGAGCGCGCAGGCGCGCACCCGCACCCTGATATGCCTTATTGTTACCTCCCAGTTTTCCCATGGGCGGATTTAGGGTTTTCAGGTAGGAGTAGCCTATACTAGGCTTAACTCCTCTTTACTTGCCTTTGGGATTGTTTTGACGGGACCAAATGTTTTCTGCTTTAGCATTTTTTAAAAAGATAAACGTTAAGATCGAAAGCAAAACCAGTAACGAACGAGTATTTTATTCAAATCCTTTAAAAATGATCGTTTTAAATACCATTTTTATTACCATACCATACTATTTTAAAATGATCGTGCACAGATAACATGTTCATATAAACTTACAGCCAGAAGTTGCATACACATCCTGATAGGTCTCTAATTCAGGTTAATCATCACAGTATAGACAGGACTGTGATCTGTGTTTGGTGCAGATTGGTTTGATCAGGCTAAGACTGCTGTGCTACTGGGAACCTGAGATAGGGAGCAGATGGCTATCAGATATGGGAAATGATGTTCATATCTCCTCCCTGAACTAGAGGCAGGGTCTGGGTGGAAGCCAAGAGTTTGGAAACCTTTCTCAGGTGTTGAAAAAGCTCAGGTGCTGGAATGTAGAGATTCAAACTATCAACCTTTCATCCAAGGTGCTGGAGCGCTCCCGGCCCCTGTCACCTGGCGCAGCAGAGTCCGGCTCAGGTAGCCCTCTTCACAGGCCACGCTGATGGACGGACGTCATCACTGCTGGGCTGTGCAGTAATTAGGGGGTTACGACCTCAGAGATCTGGCTATTGTTGTGGCTGTGCAGCGGGGCATGTTATATTGTACCCGTGCCAGAATAAACCTCTCTCAGGAAACTTCACTTTCTATTCACTCACTCACTTCTCAGAGTACAGTGCACTACTCAGAATACAAGGAAATGCCAGTGTTGAGAGACTGCAGCTTTATAGCCCATAAAGACCCAGAACAACCTTGCATAATCATGCATATTGTGCCAGCATTCACGATGCATGGACATAACAACGGTGATTAATGAAGAAAAAGGAATTAACTTGGCAACCCTCACTTGATGCACCAAGATGCTTCAATTGCAAGGAGACAAAACAGTCTGTGATGTGTTTACAGGCCCACTCCCAGCTTTTCCCCCTTTTGCATAACAGTAAGCTTCACTGTGTCTGCGCTTTGCTCAGTCCAGTTCTTTAGTGAATGAATGTGCATGAGGGTGTTCATGTGTGTGATTTGTGTGTGAGAGGGATATCTATGCATTCATTTGGTGGATCATGAACGTTGCATTTCTGGGATGCCTTGAGGAAACTTGCTACCTTTTTTTCTTACAAGAAAGAAGTAAGCAATAACATATGATATCCCACGAGTCTTTAGAGGCTCAGTGCTTTACTTAGCCATGGTGGCTGCAGCCGTGCAGCAAGTGTTAGCCTTCGCCATCTCTCCCTCATAATCTCACTTTGAAGTCCCACAGGGGTTACAAAAAGGTGAAGGCTATTAGCTCCCTCCTCCTCTAACCTACACACACATAATCATAGGTGTTCTCGCTCTCAAACACACACACACACATTGTCACTCATTTTACACAGTACTTTGGTTATAGTGATCGATTTCTCTTCATGGACCTCTGCTGCAATTGGTTTTTCACACCACAGAAAATAAAACCGGATGTGCAGAAATCAATACAAAAGATTTTTTACCCAGATGCCCCATTTATGGAGCATGAAAAGTGGCTGCCAAAGTATCCCATGTGAAACTATTGACAGAACTGTATGGGGTGCTTAGTGTTATTCTGCCTCTGCTGAGTCTGGTTTGCCTCCTGGGTCTTGGCCATTTCCAGAGTGGGATAAATAGGTCAGCATGACTGTGGCTCTGCATGGGTTTCAAACACATACGTGGTCATATCGTGTGTGTAAGAAAGGAAACTATGCAGGCACACACACACCTGGGACTGATCCCAGACTGGGACAGTAGGTCTGGGGAGGTACTCCTAATCAAACCCAGCTCCCTCAGATCTCTGTAGTTTCCCAGCTGCACACACATCACGTGCAGTTATCCAGCACAGCCTGACAAGGATCTCTGGCTTTGGTCAGACCGCCGGCCTGATAAGGAGAGACAGCAAGAGACAGACAACACAGACGAACTCTTACCCTCTTTTCCCCAAATTTTCTCACAAGTATGCACTCACACTAACTGAAACATGACTGCCCCATACATGACAGCTTAGAGCGTATCCACTCCCACACAGACATACATAATAAATGATGGTAAAAGAGAGGCTTACACTCTGGTGCTGCTGAATGAGGCTTTGGGGGTTCACAGACAGGCCATTAGTTGATCATACAAACATTACAGAGACAGATAGACAGGAGGGCCATGAGGTGAAGTTGTGCTAAAAGGAAAGAAAAAAAAAAAAGAAGCACTATGGAAAGCTAATAATGGCGGCATCTTTTCAGGTTGTATTAGGAGAGGCATTTATTTCCTCAAGTTTTTCCTCTTTATTTCTCTTCCTCTAAGTCTACCTGTACATTCACACTGCAAAAACAGCCCTAGTAGAAAGAAGCAAAGTATTCTTATATTCAATCAAATAATCTTGTATCAAGCAAAAAAAAAAATCTGCCAATGGGGTAAGCTGTTTTTGCTCGACAAGAATTCTCAAAATAAAATAGAAAATCTTAAATTAATCTACAGCAAGCAATGAAAATGAAGATGAAGTTACTTAAAATTAGAATTTTAGTGTCTTGAATAAATACACCTTAATCTAGGATTACTAATGATCATGACAGTAGTTGAAATAAGACACAATTTCTTAAAACAGCATAGCAAATATAAGTGATATTGTCTTAAATCAAGATACCAAAACGTTCTCATTAAATATATATATTTTATTCCACAAGCAAGCATGTGGAAAGCAAGCATGTTCTTTGTTGTTTTGCAGTTTTCATCTGGTCATTGTATTATGTTGTGTGTTGTACAGACTAGCCTACTGACATCTTTATATGTCCGATATAGAGATTCTGTCAGGTTCAGATGACCTGCAATGGAAATCTTAATTTAAAAAAATCAACTGTTCATGTTTCATGGCATTCTTAAATTGAGAAGTTGTACATATGTCTTACTCTTAAAATGAGACAAATGATCTTGTTGCTCTGCTGGATTTTATTGTAAAACATTTTTCTACTTTATTTCTGGTTCATTTAATCCTAAAATTAGCTGGAATATCTTATCAAGAAAAAGTTAGCCATTTTCTCTTAAAATTAGATGATTTTTCTACTGCCAAACATGCTTGACAAGATTAATATTCTTTTTGTACAAAACTAAGACTTATTTACTTAATACAAGGCTGTTTTCCTTTCTTGAAATTCCTTTTCCTCAGTGCACTTTTTAAGAATTTCCTCTTTGTGCTTTCGCAACAATATTGAGCGGCTCCTGCTCTGGTATTGATCCAGAGAGAGATAATTGAACCCTTTGCCTCACTTTGTTTTCGTAGACTGTCTTAAGTACACAGCTGACACTTTGCTGTGTTTACCAAGCTGTCTACTGTCACAGCAGTTGTAGCATTGTGTGCATGTGCACACATTGTGTGTATGTGTGTGTGTGAGAGAGAATGTGTATGTGTGTGTTGTGGTGTAAAGTTAAATTCACCGGAGAGGGATGCTTGTGGAGATGACTGTGGTCAGTTGTCCTTGTGTCCTTGTGTTTCTGTGAATGAGTGTGTGTGTGTGTTTAAATTAAACCCAGCGGGGTGGAGGGGGAGGCTGAGGTGCTTGTGGTCAGTTGTCCTTGGGGGGCCTGGTTGACTCTGTTTGTCTTTGCACATCTGGCCACTAGAGCCACTTCCGACTCCAATTAGGATTTCCTGAGACCCAATAAAGGGGATTATTGGCCTGCAAAAACACTTGCACAGACTCTCCCACCCAGTCGCCTTCCTGCCCCAGCTGCTACGGTCATTACAGCGGTCAGAACTACAGTCGCACTCCACTAGAGGCTTACAATGAAACGGTGACAGACAGTGACAGAAACCAATCAGCCCCCTTATTCTGCCTCTTTTCCTGCACCTCTTTGTCCCTTTTTGCAGAAATCTACAGCTCCTCTATTTGATCCCTGCTTTACAGTCTCTCTGAATGTGAAATGAATCAAATGCCCCATAAATGATGTCAGCGAGGCAATGGAAACCAAATTTCTCCCTAACAGACTGATGGAAGACCACAAGACTGTGTATACCAGGCTGTGGTTGGGCACAAAGCCCTGTAGCAGAGTGCAGGGGAGCTAGTCTTGGGAGATAGGGGGGGGTCCTGTGCGTCTGCTTGTGTGGCAAGAGTGATCACACAGTTAATATTCAAAGGGCCGGGCCTGTTGTAAGGAAGGCACTAAATAGAGGTTGACAAAGCGCGTCGCACAAACAAAGGCTTCTCCCTAAGTAGGCTGTGTATATAGCACCAAGCACAGAGAACGGATGGGCTTTGCTGGGGTGGTCATGTATGGAGTCCATAGTGAGTTATTAAAGCAGGGCCTCCTGCTCTTCCTCCCCCACCATCACAGTGAAACCCAACCATGCATCCTTCATTCTATGTAGGGCTGCCTTTTGTACAATGTTCAGTTTTCTTTGTATTTCAAGACAGCTGTAGAGATGCAGAATGTCATATTTCTGACCTAGTTTATGCTGATCACCAAATTAATACAAATGAAAACAAGTTGCAGGATTTGTTTTATCTGCACTTGGAAAAACCTGCATTATTATTTCCCTTGGTCTTCATCAGCATAATGGTTGTAATGTCTACGTGCCTCATGGTGAGTAAAACCTTGCCAATTTCTTTCTACATCATCAAACACAAACTCAACACACACACACACACACACACACACACACACACACACACACACACACACACACACACACACACACACACACACACACACACAGCTACTTCAACCATCTAAACCTAATTATTCTCCCCCTGCGCCTCAGTGCCAACCAGTGATGTCACCCACAGAGAGACAGTGGGGCTGTTGGCTCAGTGCC